CCGAAAGGATTTTTGAGATAAGAGTATGCCTATATGTTAAACGGGAATGTAAGCTATCATCATGCCAAATTTCAGCCCAATCCGTCTCCAGTCGTTGCATGAGTGAACTTCAAACACACAAACAAAAAAACAAACAAACAAACACACAAACTTTCACTTTTATAATATTAGTAAGATAAGATAAGATAAGATTACAACTAAAACTTAAACCAAAGGTTAATTTTAAACTGGTTCAACAATGTGCTGTCTGTGTTTTTGTGCTCAACTATCCAAAAAGTATTTGTAAAACGAGTACTGTAGAGATAACTAAATGGTAAATAACGTTAATTAAGAATACCACTAATTTTTTTACATTTGCCTAGTAGGTCTGATGATGATTGGAGTAATATATAGATTTGTATAAAATGTTCTGTGAAGATGGATTTCTGTTTCCTCATCTCAGGCTTGAATATGTTCTTTAAATCTGTTTTTAAAACTTCGGCTTGTTTGTCTAATGTAGGATTTATCATATTCATTTTGTTTGAAATTATTTTGGTTATAATATTCAGTACATTTGTTTATGTCTTGTGCTTGAGTGGCTATATTTCCTTTTTAAATTTTGTTATTTATGAATTAGAAACACATTCTTTGTCCTATAATAGATTTTTATATTTGAATGCTTGAAAGTTTTGCTTATTAGTACATGTAAAATTCTACTAAAAGACTAGGCCTAGTAGAAAACATATAATTTGGTCCGTTCATGAATCTTGCAGGAAACGTAGTACCTAACATTAGGTTTTGAAACCTGAAGAGGCCCTAGTGATTATGGTGGTGGAAGAACCATTTTATGGGGGTTAAAGTTTATGGAGGTTGAGAACATTTTTATCTATGGGATCCAAGCAAGTGGGGTGTTGTTTTCTATGTTTCTTAGGATGCAGAATAGAAGAAAAGCACAATAAAATCAATGCAACCGACAGTTTATGAGAAAAGGACAAATTTATTTTTGAAAAACTAAATATGACAAATTAATTAAGATTAAATAATTCAGTTAATATTAATTATTACAAAATTGATCATGAGTCTAAGACATGAGTCCAAAACTCAGGTATTTACTCAGGGGAGGTATAAAAGAGGCTATGATGACAGCTGTGGGCTTCTTTTTAGCTGAGGGAACGCCATTACCGTAACAAAACGGTCCGTAGCCGTCGGCCTCAGTGGTCTAATGGTTAGCGTACCGGGCTGATATACTGTAGGTCCCGGGTTCGAATCCTGATGGTAGCATTTACTTTTTGTCCAAGATTTTTTTATTATCAGCAAGTTTGGTTGGTTTGGTTCGGTTATTACAGTTTAATTTTATTATTAAGTCATTATAAAATTTTAATTGAGCAAATTCTAGTTTTATTTAATAAACAGAATTATTTTTCCTATTACTAAACTTTTGTTATATTATTTTTTTATCAGCAAGTTTGGTTAGTTCGGTTAGGTTATGATAGTTTAATTTTATAATTAAAAAAATTATAAAATTGAATTTGAGACATTTACAATTTTATTTTATGAACAGAACTATTTTTGCGATTAGTAAACCTTCATTGCCAAAGTGCTCTCTACTACAGCGCTGTTCACGGAGGAATTTTGAACTAAATGCCTCATTCGTACCTCCCCTAAGTCAGACCCTAAAACTCATGAAGTCATATGTTAACGTTGTTAGGAAAATCAACCAAGAAACTGGTAGTTACGCCTCTTTAACCTTTACGTGTAGTATTTTTCATCAGCTACTGATGCATCATCACCATTGATGGAATTGTCAGGTTCTCTAATTTCTTCCACATCAACGTCTTGACTTGACACAATTTCACTGACAGCACGGGAGTTTGGTTTTTAGAGCTTGTACATGCCTACCTTCTTCACAAAAATGGCATGAAGATGAATATTATTAATCCAGGGGTGCCCATCCCCCCCTAGACTCATGACGCACCCCCCCCCAATTGAGAAACAGCCCCCCCCCCACCATAAATGATGTACACAACAAATGAGAAACATTATTTCCCCGCCCAGCACTATTTGTAAAACTATAAAAGAAGTTTTATAAATTTTATTAGATATTTAAAATTCAAACCAATCTATTTAAATAAAGTTATAGTTTTGTCTGTACATTGCTCAGAATTATACATATTTTGGGTTATTTTTACGTTTTATACATTGAAGAAGTTGAAACATGTCTTATCTCAAATTGTGTCCGTCTGTCACGGCCCAGAAGGCATTTTACGCAGCCTACAAAGAAAACTAGAGTACCGATTATGATTATAATGGTTTAATTGTATCCACAGGATTGGCGAGAGTGTCCTTATAGCCATTAAAATATGGCCTCATCATTTTTTAAATAAAATAACGGACGTTCAAAAACCCAATTTTGTGTGATTTTTCTAGTTTATTTTCTCCATGTTTACTACATACGTCATTTATGAAATACTAATAATCTGTTAAGAGAAGACGTCATATATGAAATTACGAACAGCTGTTTTGATAAAGATTCCTTTTTCTAGCTGTCACTGATATGTTTACATCAATGTTGTTTACGAATACTGTATAGGCCCTAACCATTTCCGATCACGTATGTAAGCAAAACCAAAACCAAGTGAGATTAATAACCGTGTGGCTTTGGCTTACATAACGGGTTTGATTTGTCACGGGTTGGGTACTAATATGTAACTGTAAATTAAATTAAATAACTAGCCATCATCCAGGTCGGGAACCGGAGATTCGTGTGTATCAAGTTGTACTTGTATTTTGACTATCAGGAAAAGACCGTGAATCAGTGTTGTACAGGACTGGAAAACTTATCTTTCTATATAAATAAAATTAGAGTTTTATAAGTCACCTCAATTTAAAGATTTTTTTATTGCCAGAATATCCATATAGCGTTCGTAACCTCTGCTTAACGAATTGTCAGCGTCTTCCTCTTGATATAACGATCCCCTCTCCCTCCCTTTAGAAACATCACAGCTCCTTTGATGAAAATGAAATGGAAACAACGCTTGCGCCAACAATCGTCTGCTCCGTTTTACACTTCTGTCTGCTGTGCGCTACAACGTGTTATATAGTTCGATGGTCACAACAGATTTCAGATACTGTACAACAGCTGTGGAATGATGACAATATAATGCTTAGTAAACTGTGATTGAGTGATCAGTAACCATGGTAACTTTAGTAAGGCTGTGATTGGCCAATGAGTTAGTAGGCCTAAATATGGCGACTTGTTTAATTTGTGTATGAATTGAAGAGAAACCTATTAAAGAACAGAAGAACAAAGAAAAAGAATAACAAGATTGTTCTCGTTACATTCTTTTTTAAGAGTGTTTTAGTTATCTCGAAATATAATTTTACACTTTTTTTATCAGACCTACTTATCTATCAATTCTTATGCTGTGATACAGCACCTTGGTAGCCTATATGTCCATCATGAGCAGTACCTTATAACACTTTTTAAAGGTTCCTTTAATATTTACGTTATTTATAGCAATGCAGTGTTTGGCTAGATATTAGTTGAGTTTGAGTTAGCTATAATTTTAAACGTTGCCGTTTGTACAACTGAACCAAGATAAATGATTTGAAAATTTTTAAAATAATAATGTTATTGCACAATAATAATGATTGTGCAATATTGAATTTCGTTTATAAGAATGCAAATCGTAACGTTAATGGCTGTTTACAGCGTTTTAATGGGTTTGTCATCATTCTGTTTTTATACTATAGGCTATTGGATTAACCGTATTTTTCATTACTCCCCCTCCCTATTAACTCAGGTAATCGAGTATCTACACAATAGTGCAAAGTATTATAGCCTATGCTACTTGATTGTATTTGAACTAGCTTTATGTCAACAAATAAGCGTTCTGGGCTAAGTCGCGGTGTAGCTGGACGACTGAGGGACGTGTCTGTACATGCGTTATCTTTTATCTATCACATCAGTTGAGCCATCCCGTGCGCTCCCTCTTAGATCTCACGTCTTGCTAATCTTGAATAATAACTTTCTACACGAATCCTAAACTATCCTAAAATCCTATTTTAACTAATTGAATTCAATAATATAGCTATTGTCATTAATTAATCCACTTTCTATATGGCGACTTCGTAATATATTTTGGATTGTCGTCACGTTGAACACTGTTGCAATTAGCTTTAGCCACCCCCCCCCCCCTTTGGAATTTTTGAGCCCCCCCCCAAGAATTTCAATGACGCAGTCTGCGTCACAGCCCCCCCTTGTGGGCACCCCTGATTAATCCCACTCTTTATTGTGATGTTGAGCAGCTACCTTAACACGAACAAGATACTAATTTAAGTATTGTCTCTGGAGCTGGCTCAGTAGTCGTTCCGATTGGTAGCAAGTAGTTTTGTTTTGTGTCTAGCCATACCCCACTCTTATGGAAGCAGCTTATTCCATATTGAGGGTTGTATCTGATAGTAGGTGCGGTAGGAGTTTTGAGTAGCACTGTCCGATGCTAGTGGTAGGGAGCCATATCTGGCAACTCTTTTCTTTAATGATTTATGAAAAAGATTAATTAGATTTAGGGTAAGTGTCCCGTCCTAGGATCCGTAAAAGAAAAGCCAATACATTCCCTTGCTTGTTTCACCTCAATGTGATTGGCGTCAGGTTTGTGAAAGGTGTGTTTGTGGTTGCTTTCAGTCTACAGCAGTTTGAGTTTTTTTTTTCTTTGACATAAATTGCGCTGGTGGTAGGATATGTGTTTCAGTCTCTAAAGTTGCATTTAAAACTTTGCCATTTAATAAATTATGTTATTTTTAATTCAATTTATTCTTTTCAGGTCCTGAAATAAGAATTATTATGTGCAAATGTGCTGGACCTTTCACAGTTCAATATCAAGATTAAAATATTGAAAAGCTTTGAAAATAAATTTTATTGTGATAAACTAAAATTCAAATCTGCACAAAAACAAAATGTTTCACAACATACCTAGTGTTAGTGTGTGATGTTGTAAAGGTAGTTGTGATTCTTTCAACAAATAAACATGAGTACTCCTCCGTGGTTAGAATCATTGTCTCTACACAATGCTATTGACAAATTGTCTGTAGACGATATAAAGTCAATGTTGGAGCTTAACAATCATAAATGTGAGATTGACTCTTTGGACTGCAGAGGAAGAACACCTCTGCAGTGTGCCATTTCAAGGGGTTTTGAGGAAATTGTAAAACTATTGATAGACAAAAATGCCATGCTAAATGCAAAGGATATTGATGGAAACACATCAGTTCATCATGCTGTTTTGGGAGATGATGAGAAGTCATTAAGGTTGTTAGAACTCTTGATTGACAAAGGTGTAGATCTGAACATTGCTAATCACTTACATCAAACCCCACTTCATTTAGCAGTAGAAAGAGAGTTTCAGCCATGTGTCAAGCTATTGTTGGACAATGGTGCGAAAGTAAATGTGCAGGACAATGTTGGTAGAACACCATTACATTATGCTGTTTCAAAGAAAAATAATAGCATTGTAAAGCTGCTTATAAGACGAGATTCACAATTAGACCTTGCAGACAAAAAAGGAAAAACTTCTCTTCACTTAGCAGCAGAAACCAAATTTGCATTTGGTGTTTCCATACTACTAGAATCTGGAGCAAATATCAATGTCAAAGATGATTGGGGTAATACACCTTTACATTACTCTGTCCTATGCACTAAGAAACAACGTCAATACTGCAACCCAATGATCAATCTATTGATCAACAGCAGTGTGATCCCACAGAAAAATAAAAAAGGTCACACAGCATTGCATTGTGCTGTCGATGCAAATAACTTCACAGCAGTCGAATTATTGCTTCAAGCTGGAGCAGAGGTAAATGAGAGAGATCTTATTGGCCGCACCCCACTTCACCATGCAAGTATGAGGAAACGTATTAAATCAAAAATATTGAAAGCTCTTATTGAAAGTGGGGCCCAAGTAGATTGCAGAGATGATCTTGACAGAACCCCTTTACATTGGGCTGCCATTGGCTGCTTCGTAGCCAGAGGATCCTTGTTGATAGAATATGGAGCTGACATCAATGCCAAGGATAGGAAACTCAACACGCCACTCCATCTCTGCTTATCTGAACCTTCGCCCTTTGGAACATTGTTATTAGATAAGGGGTGTGAGATTGACTTGAAAAACAGCTGTGGCTACACACAGCTGCAAATAGCAGTAGAAATAGGTTGTCAATCAATAGCAAATCTACAAATAAGTAAAGGTGCTAATATTTATGTTAAATGTAGTGGTAGTAAGAGCCTTCTTCATATTGCAGTTTCAAATAGGAGTAAGAAAATTGTTGAGAAACTTATAGAAAATGGTGCTGATATAGACTGCAAGGATGACAATGGGCGCACAGCACTTCATTATGCAGTCAAAACTTGCAATCGTTTCTATGACAATACTATTATTAATACACTTCTAATGAGTGGTTCATATGTTCTGATGAAAGATAGAATGGGAGTAACTCCAGTTGACCTTGCACTGTATGACTGTCACATTCCGAACCGTGGATGGTACAGTTTCCGGATCCTGATGGAATGGGGTTGGTTCTGTACAGGTTTCCCTTTTAAATCCATATCTGAATCACTTAGGAACATAGCGTATGAAGATGGAAAATATTTTCATGACCAGATATATGTGAAAATGAAATATGCAAGATTTTTACCTCAAGAAAAGGATTCTTTAACCACCCATTTCCATTTAGATTGCTCTGCTGAAATAGAAAAAATGAAGAAAACAAAGATCAATCATAATGCTCTAAGTGACATATTATTGAAATACTCTGATCTCACGTTCTTATCAAATGATGGCATAAGGAAGAAAATATTTTCAACAATCTTAGATTTTGATTTTCCACTTTACATTAATATTTTGAGGGCTGCCTATATGAAAGCAAAAGAACGACTTGGCAAAATCAGTGTTGTTAGTAACATTTTAAAGTTTCCTCTACCAGAAGAAATGACATGGAAGATTTTGACATACGTCAGTGACAATGACATTGACAACATCATTAAAGCATCTAAACAATAAGGATTTAACAGCTTGGCTTGATTCCTTTCTGTATTCTTTCTACAACTTTGTTTTTTCATTACATAAAATTTAATTTTAACCATGTAGACTATTTTTAAGAGAGTTAAAGAATTTGAAACCTGAAAAAATGATGATCTTCTAACTAAGTTTCAAAAAACCTTCAAGTATTATTTTAGGGATTTAGAGTTTTTTTTCATATAAAAATGTTTATAAAATGTCTTTTTAAATCATGTAGACTATTTTTAAGAGAGGTAAAGAACTTGAAAACTAAAAATATGACAAGCCTCTAAATAAGTTTTCAAACACTGACTTTATGTATAATTAATGTTGGCTTGTAGTCTGTTTTTGGTTGGATGTTATTGTCAGATTAACCCTTTTAAAGACTGAGTTAAATCTTTTAGCCAAAACAACCCCCAATGACTTGCTAGTCAACTAACTATGTCTACCTGAAAAATGATTATCTGGTAGTTAAAAGTCAAAAATATGCACAGTGTATTGTTGCGTTGTTACTTTAAATTAAGAAATGTTCATAAATGTTTTCTTTTTCTTTGTTGTGACCTATGTTTTACCTGAAGGTACCTACCTACTTAAAAAGTTCAGATTTATCAGGCATTAAAAACTTTTGTTACCTTTATAAAGGTAAAAATGTAAAAATTACACAGACTATACCACTGTTAAAAAATACTAAATAACATTCAGTTTTTGGGGAAAGATTATCGTAATAAAACATGGAGGATTAATAAATAAGAAAATGAAGGTTACTCCATTACTCCTCAAGGATTTGAATAAAATACCAGCTCATCTGCTTTGATATCCTGAAAAATGTATATCATCTTACAAAAACAAATACAAAGCTAGAATTAAAACCCCTAAGATTAAATGCAATGAGGAATTTATTTATAGTTCACAAAACAAATGTAAGGCTGTATGTAAAGTTGTTAAGTCAGAAAGTGGTTTATTTTTAAAAGTAAAAGTCTCACATTTTTGATTTAAGGGAAAGTTTAGGGGGGTCAGAAGACAAAAAAATTGTTGATTAAATGTTTAGTTTTATCGAATTTCCCGTATAGGGAATAAGCTTTTACCGTAAGTCTCATTGCAAGACTTGGACCCGGGACCGATTTACTTTTTCTTTTTGATGTCTATAGAAGCCAAAAACACCATCCATTTAAATCTTACTAATATTATAAATGTGAAAGTTTGTTTGTTTGTTTGGGTGTTTGAAGTTCAATCACGCATAAACCACTGGACAAATTGGGCTGAAATTTGGCATGATGATAACTTACATTCCCGATTAACATATAGGCATATTCTTATTTCAAAAATCCTTTCGGGCTCCGCCCCAGTGGCTCTGTAATTTCCCATGTTAACCTTATGAGTATCTATAATATTAAAACGAAAGTGTGTTTTTTTATTTAACGATTCTGAATCAACCACTCGACGGATTTTCATGATTTTTGGGTTGAAAGAAAGATAATTTTGAGAACTAGGGAATGTCGAAGCCATAATTTTAGTTTAGGGTCCCAGTTTTTTAGAAATTAAGTTTTAATTTTTAAAAAGTCTAGCAGCCGACGCTAAGATTCTAAACTAGCTTTTGGCATAAAATAATTTGCTTAACATAACAGCTGTAAACATTCAGCTTTTGTGTCACAAATTCAGCATTTGGATAAAAATGTAAAGACATACTTAGGATTGACTTATTTATACCATGTGTAATGCTAATCATTGATACGTTCAATTCTTCTGTAAGAGGATGGCAGATTAATTAAATATACATAGTAAAATACTAGGATGTTCAAATTATTTTTTAAAGCAATCTTTGTAATCTTCGATTTTTTTTAGAGCAATATAATTTGTTTTAACTAACAGCTGGTTAAATATAAACTATGGAACTATGAGGTTATTTTATTTTTGTCATTGATTATAGGAAATAAGTAAGATTAGTAGAGATAATTAGACCACAGTTTAAACCAATATTAATTAAACCACAGTACAAATCGAGGCTCTGTACACGAGTCTTAATAAAAAAGGATAAATGCAAATTATTTTACTGCTCCACTTTTCAAGGAAAGATTAGAAAAATAACAATGTTTACATGTTTTAATTTTTCATGGTAGCTTTTTGTTTACAATTAATGTTTGTCTGCTTTAACTTTGTATGGATTAGGCCCGGAAATATTGATGTCATAAAAAGAAGATCAAGAATAATCAGGAATCACGATTTTAAATTACGACCACAACCTCAGCCGGGTTTTATACAAAGATAAACAGATGGATGACATAGATTGAACACAACGTCAACATTGACCTAGGATACTGCAATTAGACAAACCATCCTTAAAATCGTGTTCAGTTGTGGTTACGTTTGGGGGCACCTATATCAGCGCCCCCAAACGTGAAAATAATATCACTTTTATTTCAACTATGAATATATTGTAGTTTAAGTTAACTAATATGGGAAATTAAGATGTACATTTCTTCAATGAGGGTGTGTAATTATCAAGAATAGAACTGAAAACGGTATAGATAATAAACATTGACAATTACGTCATTAGCTTTACTAGCGTGTTTACTTTTTATATTCCTGCTACATGTGACCAGTTCTTATTTTCAAATGAATGTTATTTGAACCAAACAGCTGTTTCAAAACAAACTGTTATTGTTTTTACTTTTCTTTGTTTACGCATATTTATTTATCAATTAATGCAGTGAAATTCGTATAAAGGATAGGTGTGACGATTCGTTTTGATGTTAGGACACCAAAGTTTGTGTACTGTGAATTTTATTGGATATTATCGTTTTGTTTTAGGTCGTTTCTATTCAGACCTACTGGAAATTGTGTATAGTAGTTGTATTGTGGTGATAATAATTATGGAAGAGGCAGGTATGCGCTATGGAAGGTGGTATCGTTGACTAGGTCTATACACTTCTCAATTTTGACTATTACTCTCTCTACAATATGCTACTTATAATCAGTGTGCGTCTGTGCGAATCGGCTGCAAATCTCACTTCAACGCTTTTCACATCGTAAAAATTGCAGAATTGCTGTTTTATTTTAAAATTAACGGATTTAAAATGCATATCGTATAGGCCTATGATGGAATAAAAACATATTTGGTCACACAACATTTGTTTACAAGATGATTTTTTACATTAAAACTGCAAGAAACTTTGTCTTTATATGTGTAAACTAGCTGATCTGAATTGTACACGGTTTTAACTGGCTACTGAATTCCCGTACGTAGGACGGGCTAACATCTCGTTCATATTTAAAGGGAATTAAAGAATTTAAACAGCTGTTTCAACTAAAAAAGTTGGTTCTATGATATGGAAATGCATTAAAAAGTTATAAGATTTACCAACAGGGTGCAGCACCATATTTTTTTTTGCATTTATGAAAACAGCAAATTTGAACTAAGCAGCAACAACAAAGTAGGATTGTTTACAGTTATGTTAATGTTTTTAATTTTACGAATAATTTGTGATATTTTGCGAATTGTTGATAATTTATTTTTCTCTATTGTTTAGGTGAAGTGGTAGAACATTATGGCTATGGTAGGTGTGTAATACTATAGAATATACTGTAAATTTAAAAAATTTAAATAAACTGCAAATTTTATCAAACTGTGTCCTCCCTTATTGCAAACGCAAAGCTTGAGTATAACTGCAATAAGCATTTCATACTTATATTTCAACCCCGTACGAAGGACTGGTACTCTGCTAGTTCATATATATATATGTCCGTTAGCGTGATAACTCGAGTAAAAATGATCCTAACGTGTTGTTCAAAGCTGACGTGTGTTTCGTTGCACTGCAACAATCGTTGGAGCTTTACATCAAAATAACTTAAACATAAAGTAAAACATGGGACACAGAACATTTAACAATTCAACACGATAGCGCTATCATGACCCGGCAAGGCAGCGGTTGTAGGTTGCCAGTCTACCAACCGCTATTGTCTACCGCTGTTGTAAAATTTGGCAATTTTATTTATTTCATACTAAGCTATCAACATTCCAATATAAAAACACACTCCCCCCCCCCTACCTTCCCTGTAGCAGCAAACCTAGGTAGAGCTCCTGCGTTTCCTGGTGAAGCCTGGGGGGTAGGTGGTTAAAGTGGCTCTAAACCGGTTTTGTATGGGCTTCATCAGGAAATGCACGAGCTCTACTCACTAATTTTAATTTTTTTAATAGGAAATAAATCTGACAATTTTTCGGGAATATTTTAGTAGGAATAATAGTAGGTAAATAGAAATTCGCTTAGTCTGCAGGTTTGCTGAGGTAGGGGTATTTTTGTTTTTATGTTGTATTTGTATAAAATGTTCTGTGAGGTTGGATTTCATTGTCGTTCTGTTTCCTGATCTCAGGGCTTGAATATGTTCTTTAAATCTTTCTCAAAACTTCCTCTTGTTTGTCTAATGTAGGATTTATCATATTCAGTACCGGTAGCTTACATTTGTTTATGTCCTCCTGTGCTTGGTTGGCTATATTTCCTTTTTAAATTTGGTTATTTATGCATTTGATATCCATTTTTTATTCTATAACATATATTTTTATATTTGAATGCTGAAAGTTTTAGTTTATGGATTTTGTTAATTTTGGTATTGTGTGGCATGAGAATAAACTCTTCAGATTTTCTCTCAATTTTCATCTTTATCATTTTTTTTTCTATGTTAGATGGTAATTCCAATTCAAAATGTAACATTACTAAATTCTAAATTTACAAAGTTATAAGTTAATTCTACTTCATATTTCATAACTGTTATACATATATAATTTATTTTTGTAATTTTAGCTAAATGTACTTAACAGAATAATTTTTATTTTTAACTTCCCATATGTTACGTTCTTAAAAATTTTTCATTGTATTTTTTAAACATAAACATAACCTTCAATTTTGTGATGTGTCTGATGTGTTATGTGTCAAAAGGCCTCATGAAATTAAAAATTCTGAAAATATTGGTGAAGTTTATTTCAAACTAGCAGAGTACCCGTCCTTCGTACAGGGTTGGTATATAAGTTTAAAATGCTTATTGCAGTTACTCTAGCTTTGCGTTTGCAATGGGGGAGGACAAAAATTGCTTCTTTATATTGACGGTATACTAATGGTATTACTTATCTACCATAGCCATAACTCTACCACTTCACCTAAACATTAAATATTCTCATTGCGTATCACAGTTTTTTGTTGCTGCTCAGTTCAAATTAGCTGTTTACATAAATAAATAAAAAATTATAGTGCTGCACCAAGTTCAGATTAGCTGTTTACATAAATGAAAAACAAATTATAGTGCTGCACCCTGTTGATAACTTTTTAATGCTTTTGTATATCATAGAACCAAACTATTTAGTTGAAACAGCAGACTAAATTCTTTAATCTATTATACTTATTTAATACGCAAGCAGGTTTTTTGTGACAATTACTCCTCCAAAACTGCTGAACCGATTGACATGTTTTTGGTGTCATTGGAAAGAGCGTACCGGTAACGTGAAGTTGTGCAGGAAACTTTCTTTTTAGGGAAATAATTAGAGAGTAAGGCCCTGGGGCCCTTTAAAGTTTCGTATTTCTCCATAAGATTAATATGGAAAAGAAAAATTGTTATGAAACTCCAGCTGTTGTCAGAAATTAAAAGTGAGAAGAAGAACATATGTTAATTGTAAACAGTCAATAAGTTTGCTAATTTAACAGTTTGCTACAAACATTTACTGACCTAACACTAAAGTACCCCCGCCGCAGCAAACCCCGCTTTCCCTTAAAAGTGTTTGACATCATAAAAAAAAATGCCACTGGTGTAGACACGAGAAAAAAAAAACAAAAACCTGCAGACTAAGCGAATTTCCATTTGCTTGATTGGATTTACACAAAAATGTCCCCTTAAAAATATCACATTTATTCCCTACTAGTTGCTCTGCCCGTGCTTCGCTACGGGGTGAGAATGCAGAAAAGAAAAAATCGGTTTTACTGCAAGATACTATAATACTATGAGAAACAGTTACAACACACTTACCAGGAAACATGTAGGCAAAAGCTCAATCCTGCTTATTTATTATTTAAATTAAGATCGCTTAATGTATTACAGTACTATCATTTTATATAGTGTATAGCATTTAAAATATATGCAAAAGTATAATTCATTGACCACATGGCACCAAAAAACAATTCTCCTTGTAAACAAATTCAATTAAATAGCAGAACAGCATTTCTGACAACAGCTGTAGTTTAATAACAATGTTTGTTTCCCATGTTAATCTTATGGAGAAATACGAAACTTTAAAGGGCCCCCAGGCCTCACTCTCTAATTATTTCCCTGAAAAGAAAGTTTCCTGCACAACTTCACGTTACGCTCTTTCCAATGACACCAAAAACATGTCAATCGGTTCAGTAGTTTCGGAGGAGTAATTGTCACAAAAAACCTGCTTGCGTATTAAATAAGTATAGATTTAAATAACATTAATTTAATTACGTTTGCTGCAACAGGGGGGGTAAAAATGTGTTTTTTTTTTATATTAATAGTTTAGAATGAAATGAATGCATTTTCCAAATTTGATCAAAATATGTTCATAAACAAGCAAACTACAACAGTTTACTTATTCTCCATAAGAATAACATGGGAATTTTAAATTTACAGTTTTTTGGAATTTTCTCTGTAACCATTAGACAACGCTATGGTATTGGTATTGTAATAACGCTTCAATATACCAAATTTTTTTTTTAAGCTCTACAAAATGGTTTGGAAAGAAAATGTTAAATTTTAAGTTTTTAGGGTAAAAAATGGGAAAACCCAATTTTTACCCCATAAACACCTGTTCCCATAGTCCGATCATGCTGGTTCGCAAACTCGTTCGAATAAACGTAGGTTTACACGTTTGTACCAAGTTTCATCAAAATCGGATGAGTTTTGCTCGAGTTATCGCGCTAACGGACACATATATGAATATATATACAGTAGAACTCCAATTATCCGATCTCCAATTAACCGAATCTCCAATTATCCGAATCGCTTATTTCAACAATTTTAAAAACGTAAAGCTACAGTAATAAGTTTTGCAAAATATCAAAGAATTATTATTAAACACATTTAGCCAATTTTGGACTTTGATGGAACACTATTGACTTAATAACATGTATAGAACACTTGTACTATGAGCATTGTAAACTGTAAAAATGTTCTGATTTAAATTATTATTAATTAAATGTTCACTTAGTACCGAAAATTAGGATTTTTCTTTAAAATTCCCGGAATTCCGGTAAAACTCCGATTATCCAAATTTTTTATTATACGAATTTTTGATTATCCGAATGGGGTCTGGTCGCTATTGATTCGGATAATCGGAGTTCTACTGTATATGAATTTGAACGGATGGTGTTTTTCGCCTCTAGGAACCTCAAAACGAAAAAGTAAAACGGTCCCGGGTCCAGGTCTTACCATGAGTACTACGGTTAGCTTATTCCCTATATGGGAAATTCGCTAAAACTAAAACACTAAAAAACAAGATCAGCTTTTGAAAAATTATAAGATATTTACAAGAGATGTTGATTATATCAATCTGTTATGTACATCTTGAGTATTTTCAAAATCTTTGAGTCTAATCTTTTAAAGTCATCAGAAATTATGACTGTTATTCGTTTTAAAATAACGTCTGTAATACTTAGCAATTGCTCGAATTCGAGCAACCGGTGCACTAGTTCCCTTTAAATATGAATACTCATAAGGTTAACATGGGGAACTACAGAGCCACTGGGGCAGAGCCCAAAAGGATTTTTGAGATAAGAATATGCCTATATGTTAATCGGGAATGTGAGCTATCATCATGCCAAATTTCATCCCAATCCGTCCAGTGGTTGAATGCGTGATTGAACTTCAAACAAACAAACACACAAACTTTCACATTTATAATATTAGTAAGATTTATATGATGGATGCGTTGTATTCATTTTTAAATTCCAAATATATAACAGTATTTTTGGACACTCCAATCATCATCAGACCCAATAGGCGAATGACAAGAATCAAAATGGCATTCCCTTATATACTATTGGTTACCGGAAGTACCGGCCAATAAGTTTCTATAAGTACAACTGGAATATTTACGAGTCTGAGTTATTGAATGAAGTGTTGGCAAATTATGTTGCAACTGGTGAATGGAATTTGAAGGTATAATACTTTCTGCTGAAGGCGGTTCGGTTTTCAGTAAATGTTGAATCTGTGAATGTTGTATTTCTCTTGAAATCAATTTAATTATTAATTGTTATTGATAATATTTTTATTCATTTATTTATGTGTGTGTGTATCCATTAGCATAATATTTTTGTAAAAATCATCCGATTTTGATGAAGTTTGGTATAAATGTGTAAACCTATATTTTTAATTTCACAAACCAGCATGATCGGACTATAAAAACGGAGTTTTATGAGGTGGAAATTGGGTTTACTAAAATTGTTCCAAACAGGAGAAATGACATAGTAGATAATTTTTTTCGTACTCTCATTGTGGTATTTTATTTTTGTAAAAATACGACCAAAAGTAAGACAACAATTGTTTTACTACAGTATTTTGATTTTGGCTCTCTTATTCCCACTCTCCTTGGTGCCCTGAATTGAAATTTCAGTCTCTACAGTTGCATCTAAAACTTTGCCATTTGTTAAATTATGTACTGTAAGTAATTTTTAATTCGATTTATTTTTTTCAGGTCCAGAAATAAGAATTAGAAGGTACAAATGTGTTGGACCTTTCACAATTCAATATCAAGATTAAAAGATTGAAAAGCTTTGAAAATAAATTTTAATGTGATAAACTAAAATTGTAATCTCCACAAAAAAAATGTTTCACGACATACCTAGTGTGATGTTTTAAAGGTAGTTGCGATACTTTCAACAAATAAACATGAGTACTCCTCCAGGGTTAGAATCATTGTCTCTACACAATGCTATTGACAAATTGTCTGTAGACGATATCAAGTCAATGTTGGAGCTTAACAATCATAAATGTGAGATTGACACTTTGGACTGCACAGGAAGAACACCTCTGCAGTGTGCCATTTCAAGGGGTTTTGAGGAAATTGTAAAACTGTTGATAGACGAAAATGCCATGCTAAATGCAAAGGATACTCGTGGACAAACATCAGTACATTATGCTATTTTGGGAGATGATGAGAAGTCATTAAGGATATTAGAACTCTTGATTGACAAAGGTGTAGATCTGAACATTGCTGAATGGTTAAATAAAACCCCTCTTCATTTAGCAGTAGAAAGAGAGTTTCAGCCATGTGTCAAGCTATTGTTGGACAATGGTGCAAAAGTAAATGTGCAGGACATTGCGGGTAGAATACCTTTACATTATGCTGTTTCAAAGAAAAATGATACCATTGTAAAGCTGCTTATAAGACGAGAATCACAATTAGATCTCGCGGACAAAAAAGGACAAACTTCTCTTCACTTAGCAGCAGAAATAAAATATGCATTTGGTGTTTCCATACTATTAGATTCTGGAGCAAATATAATTGCAAAAGATGATTTGGGGAATACACCTTTACATTACTCTCTACTTTGCACCAGGAAACAAAATCCCTACTACAAGCAAATGATGAATCTATTGATCAACAGCAATGTGATATACTCACACAGAAATAAAGATGGTCACACAGCATTGCATTGTGCTGTCGTTGGAAATAGCTTCACAGCAGTCGAATTATTACTTCAAGCTGGAGCAGAGGTAAATGAGAGAGATGTTGGTGGTCGCACCCCACTTCACCATGCAAGTATGGGAAAACATATTAAATCAAAAATATTGAAAGCTCTTATTGAAAGTGGAGCCCAAGTAGATTGCAGAGATGATCTTGACAGAACCCCTTTACATTGGGCTGCCAATGGCTGCTTTGTAGCCAGAGGATCTTTGTTGATAGAATATGGAGCTGACATCAATGCCAAGGATAGAAACCTCGACACACCACTCCATCTCTGCTTGTCTGAACCTTCGTCCTTTGGAACGTTGTTATTAGATAAGGGGTGTGAGATTGACTTGAAAAACAGCCATGGCTGCACACAGCTGCAAATAGCAGTAGAAAGAGGTTGTCAATTAATAGCAAATATACTAATAAATAAAGGTGCTGATATTTCTGTTAAAGGTTTTTGTGGTAAGAGCCTTCTTCATATTGCAGTTTTAAATAGGAGTAAGAAAATTGTCAAGAAACTTATACAAAATGGTGCTGAAATAGATTGCAAGGATGACAATGGGCGCACAGCACTTCATTATGCAGCTCGAGATTGCAATTTTGACAAAACTGTTGTTAATTTAATTCTAATGAGTGGTTCAAATGTTATGATGAAAGATAACAGAGGACTAACTCCAGCTGACTTTGCTCTCTGGGATGGGTTTGATGGATATGAAGCTTTCCAGATGCTGATGGAATGGAGTTGGTTCTGTACAGATTTCTCTTTTAAATGCACCAGACCTGAAACACCTAAGAACTTGAACAGTCAAATGAGAGTTATATTTAGAATTGTTCTTGACCAGTTATATGTGAAAATGAAACATGCAAGATTTTTACCTCTAGAAGAGGATTCTTTTTCCACCGATTTGCATTTAAAGTGCTCTGCTGAAATTGAAAAAATGAAGACAACAAAGTTCAATCATAATGCGCTCAGTGACATATTATTGAAATACTCTGATCTTACGTTCTTATCTAATGATGGCATAAGGAAGAAAATATTTTCAACAAACTTAGATGATGATTTTCCAATCTACAAAAATATTTTGAGGGCTTCCTATACTAAAGCAAAAGAACGACTTGGCAAAATCAGTGTTGTTAGTAACATTTTAAAGTTTCCTCTACCAGAAGAAATGACATGGAAGATTTTGACATACGTCAGTGACAATGACATTGACAACATCATTAAAGCATCCAAACAATAAGGATTTAACAGCTTAGCTTGATTCTTTCTGTATTCTTATTACAACTTTGTTTTTTCAGTCCAGTATATAAAATATATTTTTAACTAGGTAGACTATTTTTAAGAGAGTTGAAGAATTTGAAAACTAAAAATATGACAAGCCTCTAAATAAGTTTTCAAACACTGACTTTATGTATAATTAATGTTGGCTTGTAGTCTGTTTTTGGTTGGATGTTATTGTCAGATCAATCCTTTTAAAGACTGAGTTAAATCTTTAAGCCAAAACAACCCCCAATGACTTGCTAGCAGTCAACTAACTATGTCTACCTAAAAAATTATTATCTAGTAGTTAAAAGTCAAAAATATGCACAGTGTATTGTTGTGTTGTTTCTTTAAATTAAGAAATGTTCATAAATGTTTTCTTTTTCTTTGTTGTGACCTATTTTTTACGTGAAGGTACCCACCTACAGATAAGATTTATTAGGCTAAAAACCTTTTTTACCTGTATAAAGATAAAAATGTGAAAATTACACAGACTATACCACTCTTACAAAATTCTAAATAACATTCAGTTTTTGGGGAAAGATCGTAATAAAACATGGAGGATACATAAGAAAATGAAGGTTACTCCATTACTCCTCAAGGATTTGAATAAAATAACGGCTTATCAAAACAATGACATTGTGAAAAATGTATATCATCTTACAAAAACAAATACAAAGCTAGAATTAAAACCCCTAATATTAAATGCAATGAGGAATTTATTTTATAGTTCACAAACCTAAGGCTGTATGTCAAGTTGTTAGATCAGAAAGTGGTTTATTTTTAAAAGTAAAACGTTATATTCTTTTCTTTGGAAAAATAATTTTATTGATAATCTGTTAGTGGGCTTGTTTTTTAAGCCGAGCTTTTAATCTCACGATGGCTGAATGTGTCAGAATAGGTTGCTTAGCGAAAAACAGAGTTTTGCTGCTATCGCTTGAGACGATGATGAAGTTTCCGTGACAGCATAATATGTTTTATGTAAAGATGTTTCATGAATTCTCCGTAGTCAGAGGAGACGTTCATGATTTCGCTGCGATCGCTGGGCACAAAGATGATGTCCCTGCAAACGCATTTCATCGTGTTCACACAAGATGTAGAAAATGTCTCTATGATCACAAAATATATTTTGCCGTCAATAAAGGAGACGTCCAACCGGGCAAACTTGACAAATAAACAAGAGCAATATTCACTGTATTAAATTACATCACAAAAATACACAGATTACCTACAAATACAATATTGTAGTGTTAAGTGTCTGTTGTTTTCAAGACAAACACACCCTGAATGGATTGTTTCCTCCACAGAGTAATAAACTCCTTGGTTTGAATATTGAATAGTTAAATAAACACAGTTCTAGAACTTTAAAATGGCTCTTAAAGTCACCGAATGGCTTTAAAAATAACAAATTTTCTGGAAGGGACACCCCTACTGATGTAAAACACCCCCAGTAGCCCCCCCTTGTCAAGGTCCTAGAACCACCACTGTATGTCATGCTGCGAATGGGTGTGTTTCCTTTGTTAATTTTGTCACACAAAACGTCTGTCACTTTCTGGACATTACTCATTATTATGACTGGCTAGTATAGGCCTGCTATTTATTCCTTAGAGCAATTATTTTAGATGTAAGGGAACGATCAGTTCATCTTTTCCATCGTAACAGGTATCTCCCTCCACCCTCTCTGATGAAGCTGACCACACAAACTCCCGCCAAATAATCCAAAACACCAAATGAAGAATTATAAGTTATCGATCTCACAGATAAAGAAGAAAGAGCAAAGCTCTCACAAGCTCCCAGTGGTGAGTAAATACAATTATTCTCACATTTTTTATTTAAAGGAAAGTAAGTTAAGGGGGGTCAGAAGACAAACAAATTTTTGATTAAATATTTAGTTTTATCGAATTTCCCGTATAGGGATTAAGCTTTTACCGTAAGTCTCATTGCAAGACTTGGACCCGGGAGCGGGACCGATTTACTTTTTCATTTTGATGTCCATAGAAGCCAAAAACACCATCCGTTCAAATTCATACTCAAGCAAAAATGATCCGATTTCGATGAAAATTGGTAAAAACGTCTTATTTAAACTAATGTGTTGTTCAAAGCTGACATGTTTCGTTGCACTGCAACAATCGTTAGAGCTTTACATCAAAAACATCAAAATAATTTAAACATAAAGTACAACACGGGACACAGAACATTTAACAATTCAACACGATAGCGCTATCATGACCCAGCACGGCAGCGGTTGTAGGTTGCCAGTCTATCTACAACCGCTGTTGTAAAATTTGGCAATTTTATTTATTTCATACTAAGCTATCAACATTCCAATAAAAAAAACACACCTCAATACCTTCCCTGTAGCAGCAAACTTAGATACTCATTAATTGTTTTTTTTAATAGGAAATAAATCTGAAAATTTTTAGGGAATATTTTAGTAGAAATCCAGCCAGGTAAATAGAAATTCGCTTAGTCTCAGGTTTGCTGCGGTAGGGGTATTTTTGTTTTTATGTTGTATTTGTATAAAATGTTCTGTGAGGTTGGATTTCATTGTCGTTCTGTTTCCTCATCTCAGGGCTTGAATATGTTCTTTAAATCTTTCTCAAAACTTCGGCTTGTATGTCTAATGTGGGATTTATCATATTCAGTACCGGTAGCTTACATTTGTTTATGTCCTCCTGTGCTTGGTTGGCTATATTTCCTTTTTAAATTTTGTTATTTATGCATTTGAAATCCATTTTTTTTTTCAATAACATATATTTTTATATTTGAATGCTGAAACTTTTTGTTTATGAATTTTGTTAATTTTGGTATTGTGTGGTATAAGAATAAACTCTTTAAATTTTCTCTCAATTTTCATTTTTTCTATGATAGATGGTAATTCCAATTCAAAATGTAACATTACTAAATTCTAAATTTACAAAGTTATAAGTTCATTCTACTTCATATTTCATCATTTTTATACATATATAATTTATTTTTGTAGTTTTAGCTAAATGTTCTTAACAAAATAATTTTTATTTTTAACTACCCATATGTTACATTGTTTAAAATTTATCATTGTATTTTTTAAACATAAACATAACCTTCAGTTCTGTGATGTGTCTGATGATACATAGCTGTCAAAAGGCCTCATTAAATTAAAAATTCTGAAAATATTGGTGAAGTTTTTATTTCAAATTTATATGATAAATGGGTTGTATTCATTTTTTAATTCCAAATATAGAACAGTATTTTTTTCTTTATTAAAACTTTCCTACGTCAGAATATTTGAAAAATACAAAATTATATACGTCTAACAACACTTGTACAACAATAATATATTTACACTTGTACTGTTGACTTACAAGACGTTAAATACATACAGGGTGTTTTTTAAAAAACTTGCATCTTTATTTATGTAAAAACCGCAATAGATAGAAATATGCAGTTTGCGGGAATCATCTATTGACGTAGGGGGACCAATTGTTTTGAATTCAACGTTACATTCACATTCCCCCCCTTTACCCCCCTGCCCCCAACTTAATTTTTTTAAATAGCAAGGTACCCCTTGTGACATATCAAATAAAAGAGCATGAAAAAGAAAATGTTTGATGAAAAAAAATTGAAAATCGGTTCATAAATTTGTGAGATATTCCCCCCCTCACCCCCCCGGAACTTAATTTTTTTTAATAGCAAAGTTCCCCTTGTGACATATCAAAAGAAAGAGCATGAAAAAAGAAAATGTTTGGTGAAATTTATTTTTCATTTGATATGTCACAAGGGCGGGTACCTTGCTATTAAAAAACAAGTTATGGGTAGGGGAAAAGGGGGGTGATTATCTCACAAATTCATGAGCCGATTTTAATTTTTTTTTCACCAAAAATTTTCTTTTTTCATGCTCTTTCATTTGATATGTCACAAGGGGTACTTTGCTATTAAAAAAAATTAAGTTCCGGGGGGTGAGGGGGGAATATCTCACAAATTTATGAACCGATTTTCAATTTTTTTTCATCAAACATTTTCTTTTTTCATGCTCTTTTATTTGATATGTCACAAGGGGTACCTTGCTATTTAAAAAAAATTAAGTTGGGGGCAGGGGGGGAAAGGGGGGGAATGTGAATGTAACGTTGAATTCAAAACAACTGGTCCCCCTACGTCAGTAGATGATTCCCGCAAACTGCATATTTCTATCTATTGCGGTTTTTACATAAATAAAGATGCAAGTTTTTAAAAAAACACCCTGTATATAAGTTGATAAGTAGTGATCAATTTCGATTGGACACTCCAATCATCATCAGACCCAATAGGCGAATGACAAGAATCAAAATGGCGTTCCCTTATATACTATTGGTTACCGGAAGTACCGGTAACCAATAAGTTTCTATAAGTACAACTGGAATATTTATGAGCCTGAGTTATTGAATGAAGTGTTGGCAAATTATGTTGCAACTGGTGAATGGAATTTGAAGGTATAATACTTTCTGTTGTAGGCGGTTCGGTTTTCAGTAAATGTTGAATCTGTGCATGTGTGTTTTTCTTTTGAAATGTTGATATCTAGAACATTTATGTGTGAATGTTGTATTTCTCTTGAAATTAATTTAATTATTAATTGTTATTGATAATATTTTTATTCATTTATTTATGTGTGTGTGTATCAATTAGCGTTATACTTTTGTACAAATCATCCGATTTTGATGAAGTTTGGTATAAATGTGTAAACCTATATTTTTAATTTCACAAACCAGCATGATCGGATTATAAAAACGGAGTTTTATGAGATGGAAATTGGGTTTTCTAAAATTGTTCCAACCAGGAGAAATGACATAGTAGATAATTTTTTGTGTACTCTCATTGTGGTATTTTATTTTTGTTAAAATACGACCAAAAGTAAGACAACAATTGTTTTACTACAGTATTTTGATTTTGGCTCACTTATTCCCACTCTCCTTGGTGCCCTGAATTGAAATTTCAGTCTCTACAGTTGCATCTAAAACTTTGCCATTTTGTTAAATTATGTACTGTAAGTAATTTTTAATTTGATTTATTTTTTTCAGGTCCAGAAATAAGAATTAGAAGGTACAAATGTGTTGGACCTTTCACAATTCAATATCAAGATGAAAAGATTGAAAAGCTTTGAAAATAAATTTTAATGTGATAAACTAAAATTGTAATCTCCACAAAAAAAATGTTTCACGACATACCTAGTGTTAGTGTGTGATGTTTTAAAGGTAGTTGCGATTCTTTCAACAAATAAACATGAGCCCTCCTCCATGGTTAGAATCATTGTCTCTACACATTGCTATTGACATATTGTCTGTAGACGATATAAAGTCAATGTTGGAGCTTAACAATCGCAAACGTGAGATTGACACTTTGGACTGCACAGGAAGAACACCTCTGCAGTGTGCCATTTCAAGGGGTTTTGAGGAAATTGTAAAACTATTGATAGACAAAAATGCCATGCTAAATGCAAAGGATATTGATGGAAACACATCAGTACATCATGCTGTTTTGGGAGATGATGAGAAGTCATTGAGAATATTAGAACTCTTGATTGACAAAGGTGTAGATCTGAACATTGCTAATCACTTACATCAAACCCCTCTTCATTTAGCAGTGAAAAGAGATTTTCAGCCATGTGTCAAGCTATTGTTGGACAATGGTGCAAAAGTAAATGTGCAGGACAATGTGGGTATAACACCGTTGCATCATGCTGTTTCAAAGAAAAATGATAGCATTGTAAAGCACATGATAAGACAAGAATCACAATTAGACCTCGCAGACAAAAAAGGAAAAACTTCTCTTCACTTAGCAGCAGAAATAAAATATGCATTTGGTGTTTCCATACTATTAGAATCTGGAGCAAATATCAATGTCCAAGATGATTTGGGGAATACACCTTTACACTACTCTGTCCTTTACTCTAAGAAACAACGTCCCTGCTGCAAGCAAATGATCAATCTATTGATCAACAGCAGTGTGATCTCACAGAAAAATAAAGAAGGTCACACAGCATTGCATTGTGCTGTCGATGCAAATAACTTCACAGCTGTCGAATTATTGCTTCAAGCTGGAGCAGAGGTAAATGAGAGAGATGTTGGTGGCCGCACTCCACTTCACCATGCAAGTATGAGGAAACGTACTAAATCAAAAATAATGAAAGCTCTTCTTGAAAGTGGAGCCGAAGTAGATTGTAGAGATGTTATTGACAGAACCCCTTTACATTGGGCTGCCATTGGCTGCTTTGTAGCCAGAGGATCTTTGTTGATAGAATATGGAGCTGACATCAATGCCAAGGATAGCAAGCTCAACACTCCACTCCATCTTTGCATGTCTAAATATCCATCCTTTGGAACATTGTTATTAGATAAGGGGTGTGAGATTGACTTGAAAAACAGCTGTGGCTACACACAGCTGCAAATAGCAGTAGAAAGAGGTTGTCAATCAATAACAAATCTACTAATAAGTAAAGGTGCTGATATTTCTGTTAAATGTAGTGGTAGTAAGAGCCTTCTTCATATTGCAGTTTCAAATAGGAGTGAGAAAATTGTTGAGAAACTTATACAAAATGGTGCTGATATAGATTGCAAGGATGATAGTGGGCGCACAGTACTTCATTATGCAGCAGCTGACCATCATATCCTTTTTTCTGCCAAAACTATTATTAATTTAATTCTAATGAGTGGTTCATATGTTATGATGAAAGATAGCAGAGGACTAACTCCAGTTGACCTTGCACTCAATAGATGTGCCATTTCGATCTATGGACGTGACATTTTAGAGATGCTGTTGGAATGGGGTTGGTTCTGTACAACAGATTTCCCTTTTATATCCACCAGATCTGAATCAAATAGTTTTGGTATGAAAGAACGTTTTCTTTACCCCATATATGACCAGATATGTGTGAAAATGAAACATACAAGATTTTTACCTCAAGAAGAAGAGTCCTCTCAAGAAGAGGGTTCTTTTTCCACCGATTTGCATTTAAAGTGCTCTGCTGAAATAGAAAAAATGAAGACAACAAAGTTCAATCATAATGCGCTCAGTGACATATTATTGAAATACTCTGATCTCACGTTCTTATCAAATGATGGCATAAGAAAGAAAATATTTTCATCAAACTTAGATGATGATTTTCCAGTCTACAACAATATTTTGAGGGCTGCCTATACGAAAGCAAAAGAACGACTTAGCAAAATCAGTGTTGTTAGTAATATTTTAAAGTTTCCTCTACCAGAAGAAATTACATGGAATATTTTAACATACATCAGTGACAATGACATGGACAACATCATTAGAGCATCAGAAATATAAGGATTTACAGTAATAGCTTAGCTTGATTGACTTACGTATTCTTTCTAGAATTTAGTGGTTTACATGTATATGTATATAAAATGTATTTTTAAACCATCTATACTGTTTTTAAGAGTGGTAAAGAGCTTGAAACCTGAAAAAAGTATTAACTCCTAACTAAGTTTACAAACACTCACTTTACGGGGAATAAAAGGTGGCTTGCAGCCTATTTTTAGTTTCCTGTATGTTATTGTTGGGTCAATGATTCACTTCTGTATTTTTTCATGTTTAAGTATATAAAATGCATTTTTAAACCATCTAGACTGTTTTTAAGAGATGACAAGAACTTGAAGCCTAAAAATATGACAAGTCTCTAATTTCTCAAACACTTATAGTCGGAGAAATATAGGATATGACCTTAAAAAAATTGCAAGAAAACGTTTTATGGTTTTATTTTGTAGAGTTGGGTTTGCAGAATGACATACTAAAAGTTGCCAAAAATCGGTGCACGAGAAAACCACTAAAATCACAATTTAAAATGGCGGCTTTTTCCAACATTGGACAAACTAAAAAATCATATTTCAAATGCATTTGTTATGCACATTTTTCGAGATATTGACTTGGGACCACCGCCTGTATTTATTGGGTGGTTAGTACTTCATTTTGATAGGGAAAATGTTTTTGGCCGCCATCTTGGATCTGCCATATTGGACATAGATAATTTTTTTTCAATGTAATGATAGTGTTGTGACACATCATTACCAACTACATTTTTACACTGATTTCAATGCCGAAATCCGTTTTTAAATATCTTTATTCATTTAGAAGATATATTCAAACGAAAAATCTCCACCATACATTTCTTATGGACGTTTCGTAGTTTGAGAATTTTTTTTAAAACTATTTTTCTTATATCTCCAGTTCTTATTGACGCTAGTAGTTCGTTCTAGGCTTAAAATATTCAATAATGTAAGGGCTTCCATTTGAGCTCTTGATCATTAAAATCAGACGAGTTAAAGACCAGCTACAAACCTCAGAACAATATTAAATTTAACTTTTTATAAATATATTTTTATTAAAAGATTTATAACTCGGGTTTTTAATACGTCAAAAAGTTATTTCTTGTCTCAAATTACTCAGTAAATGTTTGGCTTTAATTTTATTGATCATTAAACAAAATCTGACAATTTCAAAATTAGTCATGGACCATAATTTAACATTAAAATGTATTTATATTGAAATTTGTCTTTAGTTAAAGACGTATATCCCCAATTCTAAATAACTCCCAAAACTCTTTATAGTCTTAAATAATTCGCCAAATTATTGACTTTTATTTTAGCTATGGATTACTTTCCGGGAGTTATTAGGGTTTGGGATATATGTCCTTAACTAAAGACAAATTTCAAAATAAATACATTTTAATGTTAAATTAAGAACCATGACTCATTTTAAAATTGTCAGATTTTGTTTAGTGATTAATAAAATCAAAGCTAAACATTCACTGAGTAATTTGAGACCAGAAAGAACTTGGTGACGTATTAACAACCCGAGTTATAAATCTTTTAATAAAAATATATTTCTAAAAAGTTCAATTTAATATTGTTCTGAGGTTCGTAGCTGGTCTTAACTCGTTTGATTTTAATGATCAAGAGCTCAAATGAAAGCCCTTACATTACTGAATATTTTAAGCCTAGAACGAACTACAAGCGTCAATAAGAACTGGAGATATAAGAAACATAATTTTAAAACAATTATCAAACTACGAAACGTCCATAAGAAATGTATGGTGGAGAGTTTTCGTTTGAATATATCTTCTAAATGAATAAAGATATTTAAAAACGGATTTTGGCATTGAAATCAGTGTAAAAATGTAGTTGGTAATGATGTGTCACAACACTATCATTACATTGAAAAAAAATTATCTATGTACAATATGGCGGATCCAAGATGGCGGCCAAAAACATGTTCCCTATCAAAATGAAGTACTGACCACCCAATAAATACAGGCGGTGGTCCCAAGTCAATATCTCGAAAAATGTGCATAACAAATGCATTTGAAATATGATTTTTTAGTTTGTCCAATGTTGGAAAAAGCCGCCATTTTAAATTGTGATTTTAGTGGTTTTCTCGTGCACCGATTTTTGGCAACTTTTAGTATGTCATTCTGCAAACCCAACTCTACAAAATAAAACCATAAAACGTTTTCTTGCAATTTTTTTTACGATCCCTATGTAAGTTTGTTTAGTTTGCTTGGACTATTACTTTATGGAGAATTAATGTTGGCTTGTAGCCTATTTTTGGTTATCGTCAGATGTCAGATCTACACTATTAAGGACTAAGTTAAATCTTTAACCAAAACAACCCCCAATAACTAACTAGAGGTCAACTATGTCTACCTCAAAAATGATTATCAAGTTGTTAAACATAAAAAATATGCACTGTTGATTGTTGTGTTGTTACCTTAAATTTAAGAAATGATCATAAATGTTTTATTTTTCTTTGTTGTGTTCCATTTTTTTACCTTAAGGCACCTATCTACTTTAAAAAAAGCTATAGACTTAAAAACTTTATCCTGAATCATATCCTATAGGCCTACTCTAAAAAAGCGTGTGTACGGGCAAACTTTTGTTTTTCGTCCGAGAATTTAAGATTTTAGCGAATTTTCCATATGAGGAATAAGCTATTACCGTAGTCCTCATGGTAAGACCTGGACCCGGGACCGATTTTATTTTTCATTTTGAGGTCCCTAGAGGCCAAAAACACCATCCGTTCAAATATATATATATTTATAATATATATACCTATGTATATTTATATATATACTAGCTGTACCCACAGGCATTGCCCCGTTTAACTTCACAGGTGAGCTTGTTCGCATGGCTCAATCACGTCCTGGTTGAAGTTCGTTCGCTACGCTCACTCACCTTTAGGTTGGAGAACGTTCGCTGCGCTCACTTGCCTTCAGGTTAGCTCGTTCGCTACACTAACTCGCCTCCAGGTTGAAGTTCGTTCGCTACGCTCACTCACCTTTTGGTTACAAATTAGCTGTTGTCATCAATTAAAAAAATAATAGTACTGCATCCTGTTGGTAATCCTTGTAACTTTAATGCTATTGAACATCATAGAACAGATCCAACTTGTTTAATTGAAACAGCTGTTAAGATTCATTACGGTAATTCCATTTAAATATGAGTACTCATAAGGTTAACATGGAAAACTCCAGAGCCACTGGGGCAGAGCCCGAGAGTCCGATCAGGATAAAAACAACTTAGTTTTCCTATTTAATTCCTAAAGAATCAGTGTACCAAATTTCAGCCTCCTAGGTAAATGGGAAGTAAGAGAATTAGTGATGAGTGAGTGAGTGAGTCAGTCAGTGAGGGCTTTGCCTTTTATATACAGGGTGGCTGGTCATCAGTGTCACAAAAATTTTTTGGCATAAGTACAAAGTAAATTCAGTGTAATGATGCATATAAAAGGTTCCAAGTCCAAAAATTAGCTTCCCAAAGAATTATTTTATGTTTTTCAAAAATAACTATGTTTTCAAACTTAATACAGCTATTTCTCAGTTACCTGTATATGGATTTGAGTAGACAATGTCATTTTCGTGTTCTACATTAAATTTTGAATAAGAATAATATAAAATGACGGAGTATCAGTTGTAAAAACTCCATTGTAAATAGATTCAAAGATAAAAATTAAGATGTTTGAAAAAAATTTAAAAAATATTGGTCTATTGTATTTTTTCACACCCTGTATACAAGAAAGTGTCCGAATATGTTAAAAACTGTGCAATTTTATAAGCTTTCCAACCATATGCTACACTATTGAGGTTTAGAAATTCTGTTGTTTGTTTTAGTGGTTTGAATACCAGAAAACAGGGTGTCTTTAACATTTAAAACATAGAAAGCCGGTATGTATTAAGCAAAAGTTGTATTTTTGTTTCAGCTTTAACAGTAAAAACAGTAAAAAAGTTCCCTGTTTTCTGGTATTCAAACCACTAAAACAAACAACAGAATTTCTAAACCTCAATAGTGTAGCATATGGTTGGAAAGCCTATAAAATGGCGCAGTTTTTAACATATTCGGACACTTTCTTGTATACAGGGTGTGAAAAAATACAATAGACCAATGTTTTTTAAATTTTTTTCAAACATCTTAATTTTTATCTTTGAATCTATTTACAATGGCGTTTTTACAACTGATACTCCGTCATTTTATATTATTCTTATTCAAAATTTAATGTAGAACACGAAAATGACATTGTCTACTCAAATCCATTTACAGGTAACTGAGAAATAGCTGTATTAAGTTTGAAAACATAGTTATTTTTGAAAAACATAAAATAATTCTTCGGGAAGATAATTTTTGGACTTGGAACCTTTTATATGCATCATTACACTGCATTTACTTAGTACTTACGCCAAAAAGATTTTGTAACACTGATGACCAGCCACCCTGTATATAGATGTGTCCGTTAGCGCGATAACTTAAGCAAAAATTATCCGATTTTGATGAAATTTGGTACAAACGTGTTAACCTACGTTTATTCGAACGAGTTCGCGATCCAGCATAATCGGAACAGGGGAACGGGGTTTTATGGGGCTGAAAATGGGGTTTTTCCCATTCTTTACCCCCCAAAAATTGCAATTTCTTTTTAAACCGTTTTGTAGAGCTTAAAAAAATAAATAGGCCTAATTTAGTTTATTGAAGAGCTGTTGTATGCCTAACGGTCACGGAAAAACGCCTGGAGATACCATGGATTAGAACTTACATACCAAATTTCATCGAAATCGGACCACAGGTGTAGTCACTAGCTCTGTACACATCCAGACACACGCACACACAGACATCTCTTCGAAAACCACTTTTTGGGTCCAGGGGGAACCAAAAAGTGGTTTTCGAAGTATATTTATTTACGTAGGTAGTATATAGGATGAAATGAATAAATTTTATCGATATACCTATATCCATAAACAAGTAAACTACAATGTTCATTTTCTCCATAAGAAGGACATGGGATTTTTAAATTACACTATTTTTGAATTTTCTCCGTGACCGTTAGGCATACAACAGCGCTTCAATATACTAAATTATTTATTTTTTTAAGCTCTACAAAACGGTTTAAAAAGAAATTGCAATTTTTGGGGGGTAAAGAATGGGAAAACCCCCATTTTAGCCCCATAAAACCCCGCATAATCCCCCGTTCCCGTGTTAACGTGTAAACGTAGGTTTACACGTTTGTACCAAATTTCATCAAAATCGGATCAAACAGCTTACTACAGGTCACTGTATTTTGATTTATGTGTAAACAAAAATAACTGTATTGGTTAGTTTGAGCATTTATATTTTAAGTTAGTTTGGTTAATTAGGTACATATTAGTG